TATCCCCTTTCAGAGTGGGGTGGGCCCTAAGGCTGCAGAGACCTACAACTGGCAGCTCCTGGCCACACACACCCCTGCTTTACTTTCTCCCTGCCCTACCCCCTACACTGTCAAGGAGGACTGGGGCTCTGGCTCTGTCCCCAGGACTGCTGAGCCTCTGGAATGGAGCAAGCAGTGAGTCAGCCAGCAGGAAGGGACACTTACAGCCACTTGCATCAGATGTTCCTGCTTAATGGCCCCATGCCCATGCCCCTCACTTATCTGGGGACCTCCTGGGGCTTGTGGTTCCTGTTCCTGGGTGGGGAGGGGCAGACAGGTAGGAATATGCACAGGGAGTGCAGGCTAGGCCGGGTGCCAGCCCAGGACTCTGACTGCCCCTGATACAGCCACCCCAGCCTCTAGTGCTGACCCTGGTTCTAATACCCTGATTCTAGCTTAGGATCTGGGCTGGGATCTAGGCCTCTCCCACAGCAGCTCAGTGCTTGAGGGCCAGCCCTGTGACCCTCAGAGCCTCAGGTGCCAGGCTTTGAGTAGAGAGTGACCCTTCCCTCAAAGGCACAGGCTTGTGTGGATGCTGCAATTGTCCCAGTACCAGCCCCACAGCACCAGCCCCATGCATGGGCACCGCCTGTCTTGTGTGTGCACACACCAAGTAGGTGCATGCATGCCCCACACACCTCCATTCCTCTCCCATAGATGCCAGGGTTTGCCCTACACAGACACAGGCTGTGCCTCTCTGAATGTGCACAGACACACATACACACCCCAGCCTGTTGGCACTTGCACACACACCAAACTGGTGCTTTTTTTTTTTTTTTTTTTTTTAGTGTTGGGGAACAAAGGTGTTTATGTTTATACAGGACTCCAGTTAAATTTGAATTTCAGATAATTGCTTGGGATATATGCATGTGACTTATATTGAAAAGTTATTTGTTTATCTGAAATTCAAATTTAACTGGCACACTCTATTTTTATGTGCCATCTCTGGGAGCCCTAACACTGGTTGCAGAGGCCCTGGGGTTCCCTGGACGCTGCCCAGACGGTGAACTCTGCACTGACTGAGCCCCATGGTGCCAGGGCTCCAGCCGCCTGACCAGGTCAAAGTGGACAACCCCCAGCCAGCTGCCTCCTCCCGGCTCAGAGGAGGCAGGGGGAAACAGAGGCCCCAGAGATGGCAGTCAGGACCTGCCTGGTGTCTCCTCTGAGGTTTTGGGGTGTCCCTATGTACGACATAGACTGAGAGTCACCCTGTAGAAGTGAGGGACTTCTTGGGGGCTGGCTGGAGGTGGACAGGGCACCTCCCAGAGAGCCAGTTCCCTACACCTTCAGCCCAAGACTTGTCAAGCCCCCTCCATGACTTGGGCAGGAAGGGCATTTACTACCAGTTTCTCCTTTTTGTGGCCATCACTTCCCAGGACTTTCTCCCTGCTCTGGGAGCCTCAGGCTGGCCCCTGGCTCCCTAGAGCAGTCCTGAGTCCCCCTCTCAGGCTGGCCATTTTCCTTGGCATCCTTTGTTGGGGAGTATCCTTGTCCTGGGCCCTGCCTGTCCTGCCCACCAGCCCTGGCTGGACCTGCCCCTTGCTGTCAATGCCCCTGCCTGGATGGAAGAAACCTGCCTCCTGAAAACCAGGAAGGCTTGAGAAGTAGGGGCCAGGCTTCCTGTCTCACCTGCCTGGCAGGTTGCTTCCACCCAGGGGCAGGTCAGATCTCCCTCCCAGAGCAGGAGAGACCCCTGGGGGTCCCAGGAAAAGCAGACATAGTGGGAAGGCCCAGCTGTTGCCCCCAGGTACCTTCAAGCCCGCCTTCCTTCCCCAGCCCCTTCCTCAGTGAGCTGAGCCTATAAAGAGGGCCATTCTCCAGGAAGATGGCAGATATCAGCTGTCTGGAGCTGGTGGCTGGTCTGCAGCAGGACAAGGCTGAGGCCCGAGAGGTGGCAGGCAGGGCACAGAGGTTCTTCCTCTTCCCTGATTCCCACTAGCAGCCTCTCTCGCCTCCAGTGCAGGATGGGCTGGGGCTAGGCCTGGCTGCCTCACCCAGGCCAGCACAGCCAAGGCACCCAGCCAGTCCCAGTGGTCAGCTTCCTGTGTCTACAAGCCACGGACACCAAGGATGGCTGGCACCACCAGGAGATGGAAGAAGCTGGAAGGATCCTCCCCTAGAACCTTCCAGTGAGGATGTGGCCCTGCTGACACTTTGATTTCAGATTTCTGGCCTCCAGAACATGAGAGTATAAATTTTTGTTTTTGTTTTTTTAAAAAATATATCTTTATTGATTTCAGAGAGAGGAAAGGAGAGGGCGAGAGATAGAAACATCAATGATGAGAGAGTCATTGATCAGCTGCCTCCTGCACGCCCCCGACTGGGGACCGAGCCCGCAACCTGGGCATGTGCCCTGACTGGGAATCGAACCCCGATTATCTGGATCCTAGGTCGATGCTCAACCGCTGAGCCACGCCTGGCCGGGCTAAATTTTTGTTTTTTAAGAATAGTTTATTGGTTTTTAGATAGAGAGGAAGGGAGAAGAGAGAAACATCAACGTCAGTGCACAACATCAATAGGCTGCCTCCTGCACACTCCCTCCTGGGAATCGAGCCCCAGCCTGGGCATGTGCCCTGACTGGGAATCGAACCAGCAAACTCTCAGTGCATGGGACGACGCCCAACCAACTGAGCCAAACTGGCCAGGGTGAATTTATGCTGTTTTAAGCTACCCCGTGTGTGGTAATTTGTTACAGCAGCCTCAGGGAGCTACGACACTTATACAACCACTATATGCAGTTATACACACATCCCCACACACGCGTGCATGAGAGTACATGAACACATGTACAAATTCTCAAACATCCCTTCTTTTCAGCAACATTCAGTGAGTACTTCCTCCTGCCAGTGTGCCAGGCCCTGTGCTGGGCAGTGGACAGATCTGTGCTGTTGTGGAGCTGACCTTCTGGTAAGGGGCAGTGGCCCATCCGTACCCACCTCACCATCAAGAAGTGCACGAAGACCTGCAGGTGACTACATAAATACAGGAGACGAGGGTGGCAGGGGAAAGTCAAGTGAGGGGAGAGGTGGGGAGGATGAGGAGGGACCCATGGCTTCTCCTGGGCAGGCAGGTCTAGCAGTCCCACCCCAGGGATCCGTGGGACTGAGATCAGGCCTCACAGCTCCTGTGGCCTGAGCTGTGGTCGTGGGGGGCAGCATATAAATAGAAGCGGCTGGCAGGGAAGAGGACAGTCCAGCTTCAGGTCAACTGGGCCTGGTTGGGGGAGTTGGGGTGGGTGGCTGTAAGCCTATGGAAGAACAAGCTGGAGCCTGGAGAACAGGAGGACTCCTAGCAGATCATGTGACTAGGGCACAGGGTCTGAGAACTTTGCTCGACAGTGCTGGGGGGACAGGGAACTGCCTGGGCTCAGGCCAGGCTGACTGTATCCTAGCCTGGGTCAGGTGCTCCAGCCAAAATCGGATTGTTTTACCTCCTGTCCTGGCCCCTCACCCCATCAGTCCAGCACAAACGCTCCTTTGCAGGACTGAGGAAGGATCCTGCATAGATCTTAGTACCCCTCCGCTACTGTGGTCCCTTTTCCCTGCCAACAACGTGATGAACTCTTGGGGAGTGCAAAGCGTGTTCGGTGTGTATATGTGGCAGCTGAAGCGAGGATCACGGAGCTGCGAGGCAGGTTCTAGAGCAGGAGCATTGCCAAAAGGAGTCAGTGTATCCTAGGCTCCCGCCGGCACTCTGGGGGAGGTGCCAGAGAGCAGGGCCGGGCTCGGGCTCCGGCTCCGCATCCGGGTCTCGCGGGCCTCCCGGAGTCTCAGACAGCCCCTCCCGCAATCGCCTAAACCTTTCCCGGATCACGCGCCCAGAGCCACGCGCGTCTCACGGCGCAAGCGCATAGACACGCCCTACGGCCGGAGCGCGCAGCCGCACTCGGGCCCACAGCACCCTTCCAACTTCGCCCCGCCGCGCGCTTGTGGGCGGGGACTGGGGGGGC